CCCCAAAACCCCAAAACCCCAAAACCCCAAAACCCCAAAACCCCAAGTATGAATTGCTGTGTTGAAATATATTATAAATTTTTAAGCCATAAAAATGTGGACAACCAGATCTTTGTTCAGAACTCCTCGGAGAGGGTTCTTTTGGAGGACTCCAAAACCAAAGCTCCCTCCAAAGCCTGATCTTTACAAAGTACTTGGCGTTGATAAGAAGGCCACACAAAGACAGATCAAAATGGCATATTTTGAGAAAGCCAAGATGCATCATCCTGACGTGAGTAAATCAGGAGATACCTCTGAATATAACTTTGAGATGATTAATGAAGCATATCAGACCCTGAATGATCCTAAGAAACGGAAGACTTACAATGTTACAGGGCTTTTCTCCCATGAGCAGGAGCAAGGCATGAGCGATGACTCAGACGCCTCCGATTTCTCAGACGAGACAATTAAGAGGAAACCTTTATTACAAGAAATTCATGATAAATTTCCAGCCTACAAGAGGATGTTTCAGTATAATTCTAATGCGGCTGAGTCTCTTTTAAACCAGAAGTTTGGGGCTGTTGACTCCATAGGTAGAGGACTTACACTAAAAACTGATCACGAGCCCAACATTGTTCGAAATGTCACCCTTGACTTTGAAGAATTAGCAGAACTAATGAGGAAGGAGGATCCCAACGAGCAATTCTTAGAACGAGAGTTAACCTACAAACGGTTCGTACTGTGCCATGACTGCGGGGGTGGGCTCATTGCTAAAGGTGCTTATCACCATTTATGAGACTCATGAGATGGAGAGAGCTACAGATTTGAAGAAACTGACTATGGACCTGATTTCTTTGATTGCTTATCTTGTAAAGGAACAGGAATTATTATAAAAGACGTATGAAAGACATGAGAAGCAAAAGGAGTCCTGACCCAGCAAGAGAAGTTAAGAGTAAAAATACCAGCAGGCGTCAGGGATGGAGAATATTTGAGAATTAAATAACCGAGGAAATTTCTGATCTGATTTATCATACGGAGATTTCTTCGTTAAAATCAATATTTATAATATTCCCAAGGATTATGAGATTCAAGGTTACAACATTGTGACCACCCAAAAAGTGCCAGTAGGAAAGGCTGTGCTTGGAGGGCAGGAATACTTTAATACATTATATGGAGTTGTTTCAAGCCATCTACCTCCAAGAGTTGAGCCGAATAGAAAGTTTGAGTTAAAGGGATATGGACTACCAATTCCTTACTCTAATGGAAGAAAAGGAAAGCATATCTTCATAATTGAGTATGTCATGCCATAGGTTTTGAGCTACTAATAACATTATTCGATAATTTAACATACATATTCTCTCATTTTTTAGCGAGAAACAATAGAATTTATGTTACAAAATAGTGCCATTTGAAACCCAAGGTGCAGTCTATTCAAAGAATAAAGTCTCTTCATCTCAAAGATGTGGAGCTTTCATCAATTATAGTAGAGCTTTGGAGGCTCCTTGACTTACAGATCCTTAGAGTGTCTTGTCCTGCTCATTTACCAGGAAGTGTTTCAATTTGCTCTAGAATAAGAGGGGTTTTGGGGTTTTGGGGTTTTGGGGTTTTGGGG